ACGACCTTAGATTCTCGCCACGTGTCTTGGTCCAAGGGTTGAGTTTGCATGATCGTTGGTATTCCTCAGTCCCCTATAAATACCCTAACTTTCACCCCCATATTTCACTTTTTAACTCTCATCTCCCAGTAAATCGAGTTCGAGCTCGAGTTCGGGGATTAGTGGGGTTTGTGAGCGATCATCCACAGAGGTAAGAGTTCGAGCCCTTAAGTTGTTTTATTTGATTATAGTATAATGTCGAGTAGTGATAGTACTGGGTCGAGTAGTAGTGATAGTAGCCAGGCTCCTAGAGACTCGAACCATAGTGATAGGCCTGAAGATGTAAATACTTTCATTATTCCTATGGCCATCCCTGTTAACTCCCATATCGACGTCCTGACATGCCCCAAGGAGCCGACCAAGTACAAAGAACATGTAATTATTAAAATAGCAAGAGAGTTAGGGGTCATGCCAGTTTGTGACATTAGAACCCCAGGGCCAACTGAGATCGTGTTAGGAGCTCGGGAGGGGGAGATGACCTTTTTTAGGGACGCTCTTAAGGCCGGGCTTAGGTGGCCTCTTCACCCATTTTTCATCCATTTTCTGACCTCATACTACCTGTGTCCGGGTCAACTAGCCCCGAACGGTTGGAGGTTATTAGTGTATTTCTTCATACTGTGTAGGTGCCTCGAGGTTGAGCCTAGGGTCGACCTACGTCGAATGGTATTTGATATGAAATTCTCCCCGGGGTATAACTGCTTTGTTTATTTATCCACCAAGGGGGAGGGGGGTTTAGAACTCCTGATACCCCAAGCTCACTTAGGGGTTGGAAGCAACGTTTCTTTTTTGTGAAACCTCAAGACCTCGACCATCCCTTTAGCTCGAGGTGGAAAATCCCCGATAAGGATAGGTTTAATGAAGGTCAGACCTATTTTGAAGTTCTAGAGAGAGATAGGCTGAGGTTAGTGAACTACAACCCCCTTGTAGACAAGATCGATTTCTTGCTTGAAGACGACACCCTCGACCTTGCTAACACGAAAGGCCTCGAGGGTACGATCTTTCTTTTTATGTAATCTTTGCTATTTCATGTGTAAACATCGATCTATAGTTCGAGCTAATGCCTTCTTGTATTTCTGCTTGTAGAATTCGAGATGTCTTTCGATCTGTTAGCCCTCTTGGACAACGTTCATAAAAAAGTGAAGGGCCTGAAGTCTAAAGCCCTGACGACAACCTCGTCCAAAGGAAAAAAGTGGGCACAGGAGGCCGCCCATCCAACCATGGTGGACCTGGGGCAGAGCTCACGAAACCCGACCCCTCCAAGGCAGCCAACCCCCCAACAACAAGTTCGAGTTCGTACCCCTTGTTATGGGTCGGACCTCTTAGCTGATGATGACGACCATATGCCCACCAAGTCGCTCGAGGAGTACGCCGACTGTGCTCTCATCCAGGGCATAGTTGATAAGTATGAAAAGGAGGTCGAGATGAATGAAGGAGTTCGGACTCTCGAGCTCCTTACACTGAAGGTCGGTTTTTAATATGAATGCTTCTGGTACCCTTGATTGGTTTCTTAATTTGCACTAACGCCGGGCTCCACACTTGTTTTTGTAGACACTAAGCGTAGCTCGGGGTCTTGGGCTCAGGGGGTTGAATTCCTCAGATCGCATAGCCGAGCTCGAGGTTAAGAGCGAGGTTGCATTTAAGAGGGCCCAGGAGCTTGAAAGGGCCCTGGAGGCGGCCAAGGCGGACCTTAAGAAGGCTGAGGACGAGGTTGGGTTGGCAAGGGACGAAGCTGAGGAGGCGAAGCTCGAGCTCATTCAGTCCCGAAGCTCTTTTGAGGCGGAGCTTGTGAATGTTCGAGCAGAAGCCCAAGCTCAGGCCGTCGATGACTTTAAGAAGTCTGATGAGTTCAAGACTCTCCTGGGTCAGTACGGGTCTGGCTCGTATTACTATAGGTTGCAGCTAGCTCGGTCATTCCTTATGACCAAGCTCCCCGAGGATTTGAAACCGGTAGTGGAGGAGTTAAAGACTGTGAACGAGCTCGCTAAGGACCTCGAGCTATCCTCCTCTGAGGGTGATGGGGATGATGATGACGAAAATGCTGGGACCCCCGATAATGGAGGGGGGAGTGATCCCATCGACCTAGATTAGACCATTCCCCGACCCCGAGACTGACATTTTTGTAACTTTTTCTTTTTGCTTATGTTGTCTGCCCGATCTGGGTTTATGAACTTATTTTGATTTTGATTAATTGCAAAGTTTATTGCCCGAACTGGGCTTCTATCTTTGAGAGAAAATTTTATCAGTTCATGCATTTTATTATTCCTACGAGATCGAGCGTTGATCCTGTGTTTGCGTATTGTAATTTTGAATTCGAGCTTTCATTATAGTCTAGAGTTCGGTTGTTAGTGTATGTCATGTGTCCTAATCATTTAACTTATAGCTCGAGTGTGTGAAATAGTTTGGGTGTGATTCTTATCGTTGAACTATGGATATATTGATCCTTTAAACAATATTGATCATGGGGCATCAATTTCCAAGTTCTGTGGTGTATTGTTGGGGGCAACTAGTTCGTGCACTAGTGTCTATTTGATTTGATTTCTTGCTTATATCGAGTGTGGACCTCAATTTCCAAGTTCAGTGGTATATTGTTGGGGGCAACTATATCATGACCCGACCTCGATCTCAGAATTCATGCTTGGTTGAGCAATTTGGGATCGGTAAGGTCGGGGATGATTATACGTGGGCAATTATATCATGCCCCGGCCTCGATCTAACGATTATTTCATTTCTCGTCATTCTGGGATTGATGAGGTCGGGCTTATATGCCCGACCTATTACTGCTTGAGGTCATGTGTGGAATTTGTAAAGGTATTAGCTGCATGAGCGGGGCACGGCCTTACACTAATTTTGTAAAAGTATTAGCTGCATGCGTAGGGCACGACCTTACGCTAATTTAGCTACATGCGCGGGGTACGACCTTACGCTAATTTTGTAAAGGTATTAGCTGCATGCGCAGGGCACGACCTTACGCTAATTTTGTAAAAGTATTAGCTGCATGCATGGGGCACGGCCTTATGCTAATTTAATAGGGAATCAACATCATAAAGAAAATTCTATGTGCTATTAAAAATGCTTAAGGGCGTTCGATACCCGAGCTTATTCGAGCATGAGCTAACAGGGCATTAGAGCCCGAAAAGTAAAAAACGAAATTAAGAAAACATGAAGCGGGCATGCAAGCCCTAAAGGAAAATTATAGCTATAGCTAGTCACTTGTAATATATTTTCAGATTATTGGCGTTCCATGGCCTTGGGAGTGGTTTCCCCGATGTGTCTCTGAGGCTATAGGCTCCACCTTTAAGTTTTCTTATGATTTCGTAGGGTCTCTCCCATGTCGGCCCAAATTTCCTTGGTTGGTGTCTGGCGGCTTCTGCTTTTCTAAGGACAAGATTGCCAGCTCTAAATCTCCTGGTCTGGACCTTGTTGTTGAAGTGCTTTGCCGTTCTGTTTTGGTAACTCGCAGTCCTAAGGGAGGCTTGCTCCCTTACCTCTTCAAGGAAGTCGAGGTGCTTGGTAGTTTGCGTCTCCTTATTTGTCTCGAGCTTTCTTATTGTGGGGAGGCTAACCTCGATTGGGATGGTCGCCTCAAGTCCAAAAGCAAGCATGAATGGCGTTTCACCAGTTGCTGTCTTGTGCGAAGTCCTATATGCCCATAGTATCGAAGGTAGTACGTCAGGCCAGTCACCTTTGGCATCCCCTATCCTTGTTCGGAGGTCCTGCAATATGATCCGATTAGTTACTTCGGCTAACCCATTACTTTGTGGGTGTGAGACCGAGGTCAAGCGATGATCAATCCCATTGCTGGCGCAGAAGTTCTTGAACTGGGGATTTTCGAATTGCCTTCCACTATCTGTGATGAGGACTTTTGGTATCCCGAACCTGCATATGACGGACTTCCATATGAATGACCTGAGCTTCGGCTCTGAAATTGTTGCGAGAGGTTTGACTTCTACCCACTTTGTAAAATACTCCACTGCCACAGCTACAAATTTTAATTGTCCTCGGGCCAAGGGAAAAGGCCCAAGAATATCAACTCCCCATTGCTCGAAGGGAGCTGAGTGGTGAATGGATGTTAGTTCTTTAGCAGGAGCATGTATGACGTAGCCAAACTTTTGGCAATTGTCGCACTTCCGGACGTAATCTATGGCATCTTTCTTCAAACTTGGCCAGTAGTATCCATACTTTATCAACTTATATGCAAGAGCTCGGGCTCCCTGGTGATTTCCACAAATGCCTTCGTGAACTTCAGTCATTGCTTGAAGAGACTCGGAAGGTCTGAGACACCTTAGATAGGGAAGTGTGAGACTCCTACGGAACAGGACTCCTTCGATTATACAATATCTAGCAGCTCTATACCGAATGCTTCTAGCAAGTCGAGGGTGTGCAGGAATGTTGCCATTACTTATGTAATCAACTATTGGATCCATCCAGGAGGGCTCATGGTCGCTGTCCATGATACTTGGCTTCTGAGCTATTCTTGGTTCTGCAACCATCTTGATGTGCACGGTTCTATCGAACCCGTCCACACCCATGAAAACGAGTCTGGATAATGCATCAGCCTTGGCATTTTCGGCTCTAGCTACCTTCAGAATTTCACAACTTACGAACTGCCTCTGGAGGTCATGTACTTTCAAACAATATAAGCTCATTTTTTCATCCTTTCTTTCGAAAGACCTCTCGATTTGTCCGACCACTAGCTGTGAGTTACTGAAAACTTTGACACGCTCACACTCAAGATTTTTTGCCAGTTCCAGGGCTATAACGTCAGCTTCATACTCTGCTTCGTTATTGGTAGCTTTGAATTCAAATCTGAGAGCGCATTGTATCTCCGTAGTCTTGTTCAGACTTGTGATGATAATGCCGGCCCCTGAGCCCGAGCTATTGGATGCTCCGTCAACAAAAATATCCCATATTTCTAAGGTCGAGTTCGATCCCTTGGCCGGTGTTTCCGAGGATCTCGGAGTAAGCTCTGCTATGAAGTCGGCTAAAGCTTGGGCCTTGATTGCAGGTCGTGGCTTGAATTCTATGTCAAATTCGCTGAGTTCAATTGCCTATTTTAGCAGTCTTCCTGAGATGTCCAGCTTTTAAAGTATATGTCTGAGAGGTTGGTTGGTGAGCACAACGATTGGATGTGACTGGAAGTACGGCCGTAATTTTTTGGCAGCTATTACTAAAGCAAGGGCGAGCTGCTCCACAAGCGTGTATCGTGTTTCTGCATCGAGGAGCACTTTACTTACATAGTAAACAGGTTGCTGAACTCTTCCTTTTTCCTTTACCAAGACACCGCTTACTGTGTTCTGAGAAACGGCCAAGTATAATAGCAGCGTGTCACTGGGTTCGGGTTTAGTAAGGACTGGAGGCGTTGATAATGTCCGTTTGAGCTCCTGAAAAGTTAAGTTGCATTCCTCGTTCCAGTTGAAACCTTTATTTCCCCTAAATAGTTTGAAAAAGGGAAACCACCTGTCTACAGCCCGGGAAACAAACCTGTTTAGTGCTGTTACGCGACCTGTCAACTTCTGAATGTCCCTTTTGCACTTAGGGGCCTCCATACTTATTAAAGCTTGTATCTTATTAGAATTCCCCTCTATTCCTCTGTGTGTGATAATAAAACCCAAGAATTTTTCAGATGCCACCCCAAACGCACACTTTGCCGGGTTGAGCTTCATGTTATACCTCCGTAACATAGCAAACACTTCCTCTAGATAAAAAACATGGCTATTCAATTGTTTGCTCTTAACCACCATATCATCCACATATGCTTCGACCGTTTTCCCAATTAGCTTGGCAAAGATCTTGTTCACTAACCTTTGATACGTTGTTCCAGCATTCTTCAGTCCAAAGGGCATGACCCTGTAGCAGTAGATGGCTGAATCTGCCATGAACGAGGTCTTCTCTTGATCTTCTTCTACTATGAGAATTTGGTGATACCTGAGAAAGCATCCAAAAAGCTGTACAGCATATGGCCTGACGTGCTATCTACCAGATTGTCAATTCGAGGTAAGGGATAACTGTCTTTGGGGCATGCTTTATTCAAATCTGTGAAGTCAATGCAAACTCGTCACTTTTCATTAGCTTTCTTGACAAGAACCACGTTGGCCAGCCATTCGGGATATTGTACTTCTCGAACGAACTGTGTGTTAACAAGTTTGGCAATTTCCTCTTTTATGACTTCTCGTCTTTCTGGTGCGAATTGCCTCTTCCTTTGCTTCACAGGTCTTGCTTTCGAGTTTACGTTAAGTCTATGTACTACAACCTCTGGATCAATGCTAGGCATGTCCTCAACATTCCAGGCGAATACATCAATGTTGCGGGAGAGACAACTTAGAAGTTCAGACATGACCGCTGTATCTAACCCCCGACCAATTGTGAATTTTCTTCCAGGCTCGATCTCGACCTCTTCCAATCCTTCTACCGGAGCCAGCCTCACGTGATTTTTGTGCTCGAGCTCGAGCTCTATAACTTGCATGACGTCATTTTTTATTTTTCGAACACTAGTCACATAACATTGTCGGGCCACCGTTTGGTTGCCTCGTACTACCCCGATTCCATTAGAGGTAGGGAATTTTATAGCCAGGTGGAAAGTTGAGACAATAGCTCAAATTCTGTTGAGTAGTGGTCTTCCCAATATGGCATTGTAAGCCATTGGCGTACGGACAACTTCAAAGGTGGTGTTTTGCATCACCTGTTTACCCTCGGCCCCCAGTGTTAAGGGTAACACGATGATACCTTCCGGGGTGATGACCCCACCTCCAAATCCTTAGAGGGGTGTTTTAACTGGCTTGAGTTGCTCTAATGAGATCCCCATTTGAACAAAGGTTTATGAGACAGTACGTTTGCTGCACTTCCGTTATCTACCATAATTCTCTTGACTTCAAAGTTGGCGATGATGGCCGATATGACAAGGGCATCATCATGAGGGAACGCTATGCCTTCCAGGTCATCTGTTCCAAAAGTGATGTCCTCTGTACGGCCAAGATCTGGTCTCAAGATGATTGGAGGCTGCTTGGCATACTGTTTACGCCCGCTACTAAAATCTCCTCCCGAGGCTGTTCCTCTGACAATGATATTGATAGTGCCTGCGGTTGGTTGCTTGTTTCCCCGATCTTCTAGGCCTTTGCCTCCATTCTGATTATTCCTCGGCGCTTGTCATTGCTAATGTAAGAGCTCAGAAATCGCCTTTTTATAAGAGCTTCGATTTCCCGCTTTAAGGCCAGACAGTCTTCCGTTGTATGCCCGTGATCTGTATGGAAATCACAGTATTTACTCTTGTCACGAGTATCGGGAGAAAATCGCAATCGGGGAGGCCACTTTAGTTCCCTAGAGTCCTTGATTTCCATCAGGATGTTGGACCTTGAAGTATTCAAATGGTTAAAAGACGTTGAAGGAGGATCCTTCCTTGGTTTGTCCCTAGGTGTCTCTTGTCTTAAGCTGGACTTATGCGGCCTTTTCTGATCCAACCTCCCTGATGTGGTAGCTTTCCTTTTTGGGGTCATAGTTTCTTCCATATTGATGAACTTCTCAGCCCGTGTGAGTAGGTCGGTGACTGACTTCGGCGGGGTCTTAGACAAGGACATCTTGAATGCTTTGCACCTAATGGCGAGCTGAGACTGCAGCTGTGATATGTAGATCGGGGATCTGAAGTCGTTCTTTATTGAACCTGGTCATGAAACTGCGCAGTGTTTCGTTGGGTCCTTGACGCATCTGCATGAGTGATGCGGCTGTCTTTCTGATTCGCTTGCTGCTCGCAAAGAAAGCGGAGAACTTATCAGCTAAACCTGAGGAGGAGGTGATGGAGTTCGGTTCTAATGTGGAAAACCAATCTCTAGCTGCGTTTGTGAGGGTTTGGGGAATGCCTTGCACATTACTGCATCAGGTGCAACCTGTAAGTTCATGATATCCGTGTACACATTAAGATGATTGATGGGGTCGGTTGTCCCATCGTACTCCTTTATCCGAGGATACTTGAACCTATTGGGAAGGGGATACGAGAGGACTTCTGGAGTGAATGGTGTATTGGGAGTGAATCCTGTTGCTGTCCGAGTATTTTGTTGCATACCCGCTGCTATCCCTTCTTGAATTTCAGGTGTTGGGGTATGCGACGGGTGCGAATTTCTCTGGCTTAACAATTGGGTTAATGCAGCCATCTGCTGACGAAGTTCCTCAAAAGCTCCGGCGGAAACAGCAGCTTGAGGAGGTGCTGGAATCTTCGACGATTCTTCTTGAGGGACATGGTGTTCCTCAGGAGGAGGAGGGTTATCTGGGACGGATGAGTTTGTTGGAGGAAGACCTGAACATGTATTGACCATGGTTTTTGGTAGCGTGTTCCCACAGACAGCGCCAGTGATGCTACCAAAAAATATTACCTGAAAGATCTCGAACTTGATGATCGAACTTTGCTTTGATGAACACGAACGGTCTTTGAATACCTGCAACGAGGTGTGTGCTCGTCGCCCCTCCGATACTTAAGTTAGATAGGGAATTTAGTGTGTGAGGCTATAAGCTGAAGATAATGAAAAACGTACCTCAAGAATGAGCACGGGTTGTGTATTTATAGGTGTTAGCGGTGGAATCCTAGAAGGACTTATTCTATCACGATCCTTATCCTCGTAGGAAAAGGAGTTATTGTTTCACCTCAAGTATTCAAATCACTGTTTGAGTCAAAGAAGGAGTCTCACAAGGTAAGGATTGTGGTCAAAGAAGGATTAGTGTCCCCATAGGTCGTATAGAAAAGCTGACGAGTCGACATACATACCCCGACCTCTAATGCCCGACCTTGTTTGGTGTTTTTAGGGGCTATTGAGATCGGGGTTCATTGGTCGACTTCGTGATTGACAAGATTTGAGATCATCACATACCATATATACTTAGTAGAGAATAAAGGATGATTTATGCCTTGTCCGAAAGTTTGTTTCAGGATTTATATTGCACAAGATTGGTCAAAATTTCATCACTAATAGTATTGGTTTTCTCTTAGCATAAATTAAGAAGCAAAGAATATTGAAGCTCAACGGTTTTTGGCCTCGATTAAATTAATAAAGATATTCTTGATTTTTTCTTATTCCTTTAGCCTTTTTAATTATGCTTAAAAGTAGGTCAATTATATATTTATTTTATAGAGTATTAGTTATTGTCAAGTGATTAAATGAGACATCTTGAGGGGGAAAAAAGGATTTATTAAAGAGAGTATTAGTTATTGTCAAGCTGCTAAATGACACAACTCGAGAAGAAAAAAGAAAGGAAAATGTAAGGACATGGCATAGGATTCTGATAATTAGATCACTAAGTGCGAAATTAATGTTTTATAATGACATCTTGATTAATTAATCACATTATTTTGGGATGTTTTAGTTATAATGACAAGTTTGGAATATTTTTCTCATTTTTCCCACATAAAAATAGTCAAAATATCTAAAGATTCCTTTACTGACCATTTGGTTAATTCCCCACACACATTCCAAGTTGCGCTTTAAATATAATTCTAAACACGTGTTGGGTCGAGCATACAATAGATAAAATCTTAATTTTCTTTCTAATTTTTACAATATTGTTCAGTACTATTCGTTCTATCCAACCACGCCATAAGAATATGTTAGGTGTAGCATAACACTAATATGTGTTCCCTATCAAACTAGTAAAGCTGGATGAATGACTCACCAGCATTTTACTCTCTTCAGGTGCCGGGCTTTTGAAACTTCACGATGACATCCAAACCTGCGGATACGAGGATGTGCAGATAATGTGGGACATGCTGAGACGAACAGAATCAGAACCCATGTCTCGCCACTCCAAACGCAAGTATGGGTTGTTCTGGAAACACGTTGTATGATCCGAAACATTGGTTCATTTCTCCACCACCGAAACCAGGATGTCATAAGCCTGATCCAATGTTCCCATAATCTGATACAAAAATATATTCACAATCGTGTGCATATCATTTGTAAATATTTTCTTGTTTCCTGATGATCCCAAGTTGAATTTACTACTAAACAAACATATCTGGGAAAATTTTTGGAGGTTTTGATAACAAAATTGTGCAGTGTGTCACTGTGTGTGTAAATTTTTTCTATTCTTAGTCCCTCTACAAGCTTGCTTACTATAACTTTCAGCCTAGTCTGATAAATTGAAAAC